GATAAACGGAGAATAGGGGGAGAATACTTGGCGCGAACGTTTTTGAATGCGCGAGGTGCTCCGACAGGTCGCTCCTCGTCGTCGACGTCGTCATCGTCGACGACCCTCGGTGTCCGTTGCAATTCGTAGAGATTAAAACGTGGATTCCGCGTATCGGGAGGAGGGGGGGAGGGGGCACGCCGGTGTTTAATTGTTCGAGCGACCGACGAGGTCTCATCACCGCCGACGAAGACGACGACGCTGCGCGACGTTGAGTCGAAGGGACGCGAGCGAGAGCGAGAGAGCGCGCGCGCGCGCGCGCTTTCCCTCTCTCTCACTCTCTCTCTCTCTCTCTCTCGTGATAAATATCTAGGCGCTCGCTCGCTCTCTTTCTCCGGCCAGGGTGTTAACGGCGGGCACTCACCATCTTTCGACGGATTCGGACGCGCTGGAGGATCCGCTGGCGGCTGTCCCGGCGGCTCGATGGTACCCTGGCCTCGCGCGACAGTCACCTGGACGCCCAGGGACTGCCAAGGGACCGTAGCACCGACCACTTCAGCAGCACTTCCAGCCTCCGGCGGAGAAGCTGCCTTCCCGTCTCGCAGTAAACCTCCAAACACTACGGGGCAGGCAGCTCTTACAAGATGGCGGCCGGTGGCGCAGCGCCGCGTACTCCGAATCCGCGGAACCTCGTAGAGACTTGCGCGCGCACCTTATCGAGAGTGGGTAAAGCCAATCGCGTCGTCGCGTTTCCGTCGGGTGCACACGAGGCTCAACTAGGCTGCGTCGACGTCCCCGCGCATTCGAAATCTGGAAACACTGAACACTTTCGATATTTGGATACGTCCGAAAAAGATTTCGACTAAACTATAAGCTTGAATCCCATCAATGTAGATTAACTTTAATTTCGGTTCAACTTCCTCTTCATCTTTTTCTGGTTCTCAAAATTAGAGGATGAAGAATAAGTTAAAACGAGATTAAAGAGTAGTTAATCTAGTTGGTGGAAACGGATATTAATCGGCGATTAATTGAACTTTGAGCTCTGCGCACATATGAATGTTTATAAATTATTTTTTTATTTGTAATTTGTACATTACGTTTAATCTCTATTCTTGATTTTCTTATTTCTAATATTTAATATTTATTCTTGTTCCTGATATCTTTTATATTCTGCAGTGCCTCTGTTATTGTTCAGTGCAGATCTTTATCCATTTCTACTGAATGTAAATTAATATTAATCCCAGTTTAACTTATTTTTTATTTTTTCCTGTAGTTTTCAAAATTAAAAAAAATATAAGGAGTCATCTAAATGATGATGAAAGTTAAGCTATGTTGGCAGAAACAAATATTTGAAAATTGTAGAGAGTTCTATCTACAATTCATTGTTCCTGATTTAATTTCTTTTCCATATTAAACAATAAAAAATAGTATTTTTATCTATTTTCATAAATTATTAAATTAAAAAATCACTTGATAAGTTAATTACTGATTAAGTTAATCAGAGTTTAGTTGAAGTGGAGAGCACACAGTCAAAAATAATTTCGATTACCTTAATTCTACATAACTTTTGATCCTTCTAATCCTTTTTGTCGTATGTCAAACAACAAAATATTAATAATTCTATTCGAGTTAATAAATGCACATTTTTTTAGTTTACTAGAAAACTACAAAATTTAGAAAAGCACGTTCTTTTAAAATAAAATAAATAAATAAGATGCAGTTAATTATCGATTCATCCTCCTCTCGGTTTTTTGAAAATCTTGTTTGCTCATTCATGTCTTTTTTACGACGCGTTTTGAAGTTGAGCTTTACATGCGACTCCACTGTAAGTTTTCTGTAATAATAACAAAGATAACGGAACACAAAGGAGGAGCAAATTGGACGAATGACAAAATATACAGGCATCATATTATTTTTAGGTTTTAGATATTGTTTACATTTAAATCCAAATACGTTAAATCCAAATTCATTCCCAGCAAACGAGAATTTATTAAGAAATATTGAAAATTATTCATTGAAATGATGTCGAATCAATCCCTACAGCACAAAAGTTGCAGCAACAATGCTGCAACATTGCAGCAATATTGCACGTTGCAGCAATATTGCAGCGTTATTGCAATGATACTGCTGCACTGTATTCTGTGCTGTATGGGAAGTTTTTGAATTTTTTAATTCTTTTCTATCCGTAATCCGCTTAAATCAATAATTATGGATTAGTTATTTACTTTCTGTATCTCACCCAATATGCATATAAATGTAGCGTACAACTGGTTGAATCCGTAATTACGTATTGGTAATTTACTTTTGGTATCTTACTCAATATTCAACGCGATGAACGTGCGACTTAGGTGCGCTTGCACCAATGTTACTTTGATTTTAAGCGAGACTTAAAACTCTTTCTGCCTCGTTCTAAAGCTGAAAAGAGATAGGGACAAAGAGTTTTAAGTCTCGCTTAAAATTAAAGTAACGTTGGTGCAACCCAGTCTAATTCGTTTGAATTTAACGTGTAGTATTGAAGAATTGTCTAACATGAGAGTCTCTGCTAGTCTAGATTTCGACAAGTGATATCGTTGAAAAACACGCACCGAGGTGATATACATAAGTTGCTTCCTAAATAAAAACTTCGGTGTGATTTACAGAGTGTGTATTGCGGATCTAGGCGACAAGGTGCTAATTTCTAGACAATAATTTCTAGATCCTGGCCACGATAGTGCAGATTATATCCGGGAGTCATCCCGTTGCTGTAACTACTTAATGTAATCATGCGACAGAGTCCTCGAAATCATCACAAAATTCATATGAAATCTCTATGTATAATCCGATAATTACATATGCAACCATGAGAAATTATTGTATAATATTAAATAAAATCGTATATTTTACCAAATTATTTCATACGTAGTGAAAAAAATTATTTGTAATCAGATGAAATCATATGAAGTCATCTATGGGACAATATTTCAGCTAATGGTTACCCCCTCGTGTGAATCCGTAATCTTGTACACTCTGTGTACAGCACTAGGACTCGTTCGGAAAGAAACGATTCATATATCTGTGATCTGGCCGGAATCGCCGTCACCTCGATGACGAGTATATCAAATTAGAAGAATATATCTGTGATCACCTTGGTGCATGCTTTCCAATGATAAATCACTTTCTGGGATCGCAGACTAGCGTTTCATTTCTGAATCTATATAAATCCATTAGAGTTCACATTATTATATTTATAGAAACATAGAAACATTATAGAAACACATAGGAACAGATAAACAGATTATAGAAACATAGAAACATATAAAAATTCAGTGTATTGTCTTTACAAAATTTAATCCTTTTTTCGTGGATTACGCCGATTCAAAAATTTGATTCATACAGATTTATCCAATCCAATCCGTTCTCGTTTGCTGGATTGATACATAGATCTTTTCGTTTGAATAATTTGAGAAGATATCAAATTGAACGAATTGATCATGTTGAATGCGTTCAACGGAGTTGCTCCGGAGTCGCGTTCGCGATTAACGAGATTTATATGGATCTATCAAGGACTTACCGATAATCTGCGACCCGGCGATCCCGCGGCGACATTCGTTGGCGACGTCGCGCGGTTGATGGAAATTTGAGTAAAATCGAACAGGAAAAATACGAAAAACGATGAACGAGAAAAACCGAGGACGAAAACAGAACTGGAACTGAAACCGAACTGAACGCGAGCGCATCACTCGCCAGGGGAAGACGAGGGGGTTAGGAGGGGAGGGGAAGAGGCACCGCGACTTCCGGTCGATGCGACCGCGTCACGTCGCGTCGTCGATGAGACGCGGTGTGGAATTCGTAAAACAATTTGATGAAGAAATTATCTTTAGAATAATTTGACGAAGAAATTATTTTTCACGATGGACTGATTGAACGCGCCGATCGTCGCCAGGACGCCGATTAAACGGCCGTGCGATGCGCGACACCATTTTGACTAGCGTTGCAGAAGTGAGCTGACTGGCGCGAGATTGCCGTTCAAGTGTTTCCGGCGAACGGAAACAAAAGAGCGGAGGCGAATAGTAAACCGAACGTATCCCGAGAAAGAACGAATCAATCAATCGAGGAAACAATGACTACATTTACACGACACCCTTATGGCTTCTGCACACTGGACGCGGAAACGCTTGCCACGCGGCAAAATGCGACGCGATAACCAATGAACATGTTAGGAGCTGTAAGCTTATTGGCTACCGCGTCGTATTTTGCCGCGCGGTAAACGCCATCACACGTACAAAAATTTTAATCGGAATCGTAAGGTCGCAAACAAATCGACCAATCACAATCAAAATTAAGATCTCGCGCTTTTAAACGCTCGACTGTGATTGGCCAATTTACTTACGGCCTTACAATTCCGACTAAAATTTTTGTACGTGTGATAGCCTTAAGCATTTCCGCGTCCAGTGTGCAGAAGCCATAAGTCAGGTGTTTCACTGAATACCCTTTTTTATTTAGAACTGCTTCAGAGTCACGACAGTGACATCTTTCGTTGACTCTACGAGGTTTGAGACGATTAATGTCACATCGGTAACTTCGAGATAAAAAAATATTTTTCTTCTCGGATCTTTAAAAAATTGAATTTAAAGATATTTTGAAATTTTTTATAATTTTGAATTTTATTAGTTTTTTTAATCTTTAAGACATTATTTCTTTAATTTTAAGCGTAAAATGTAGAAAAATATAATTTGCTATATTTTTTGTATTTTTTTTAATGTTTAGGAGACGTTTAAATATTTCCGTCGCTTCAATACCGAATAAGTATTTCAAATATATAAAATTATGTTGTTAACAAAATTATCATAAAAAATTGAAATATTCATTCGAATATATCAGTTATTAGTATCGACGTAATATATAAAATAAGAAGTAATTAATTACCTACATTTTACATGATATTTCTAAATATATCAATATGTCATTATCGTAAGATATATTGAGAGATCACACGAAATATTTACAAATAAAATATACAGATATTATACTATTTTCAGGTTTTAGATATCATTCACATTCAAATCAAAACACGTTGCAGTTGATGGCACGTAGACATACGGTCTTGTCTCTTCATTTGAATAGTCCGGGATTCTCTGTGAGATATCAAAATTCGGAAAATTCGAAATAAAAAAAAATGCTATGAAAATATTTTATAATAATACAATTATATATATTTTATAAATCGCATTGTCAATCGAACAATTTAACGTTTAACAATAAAGTAGTACAGACCAACAGAAGTTTTCTAAAGGCTACACTAACCCATAAAACAACATGAAGATTAATAATTAGTTTTATGTTGACTACAAGTATTCATAAAAAAATATAATTTAATGTCATATTTAGTGTCCTCTTATAGATTACATGCAGAAAGTTATCTAACGTAAAAAAAAAAATGTACACGAACTGCTACACGACTTACGTATCTTTTATGCATAGCCAAGCAAAAGGTGCAAACTTGTGGTCTTGTCGAACAAACGCCGCTACTTTCTAAAAGACGCGTGCAAGGTTGATCCATGGCACCCGCAATGAGTATGGCGTCCAAATGGCTAATGTAACTGCTGGCCAATCTTAAGGTCTCTATTTTCGACAGCTTGCGGTCAGCCGGCTCGGTTGGGATCAAAGTTCTCAGGGCGCTGAAAGCCGTGTTCACGCTGCACAACGAAGATCGCGTACCTTCAGAGAAGATCTCATCCAGTGTCACTCGCATCCTAAATCGCTCTATTAATATCAAGTCTATCTCGATCATTATAGACACGTTTAGTAATTAGAAGAAGCGTCCAAAGATAAACGGTTCATCGAAAGAAATTTCGCACGTGAACAAAAACCGCGCGCTTATCTTCCGAATCCTTCATCTTCCTCGCGCAACAAGAAATAAATGTTTTGATAATTCACTCGTTTTTTATATCGTTCTCGTTATTATATGCGCAAAATGCTTTTTCACCTAAGAGTGCGATCTCTCTCTCGAGCGTTCGCTTGGTATCGCTGTTTGGTCGACTCTTCCCTCCTGCGTGCTGCCATGCCGTGAACGCGATTACAGAAACGTTTTCGCTGACCGTTCACAACGACGCTATCTTCATCAATGAGGCGACCGGTACAGCCTCTTTCCGTTCCTCCTCGAATATGAAAATTTCCTCATCTCTCTGGTGTCACGGATACTTAACGTCTCCCCCCGCCCACCCGTTTCTTTCCCCTTGCTCCTTCTTTCTCTCAGATATCCGACACGCACGTGAGCAGCACATGTGTGCGATCAGGGACGGATAAAGATCCTCTCTCGCACTCTTTTTCGTCCTTTTTTCTTTCTCTTCCTTTCCCGGTTTCTACCGTAACGTGCTAAAATTACGGTGAAGAAAATAAAGAACTGAATAATAAATTTTTATACACACAATTATAGAACAAAATAATAAATTATATAAATTACATTTATAAAAAAATATATATATATAATATAATATATCTCAGAAGATAATTGTTCACATTGAAAATCGAGAACGTCAAAATGTAAATGTCGAAGTTATGGTAGGATCTTTGTTTCACATTTGATCGCCTCTCATGCGTTGGAATTAAATTTACAATGAAATACATACATAACAGAATGAATCCATACAACACGCACTCAAAACTTCGTCCCTGTCTCCCACACTACTATACGCTGAGTGATGCATTCCGAGTGTAAAGTGGACGACGGCTGCGTTTCGCATTAAGCTCAATAAAAACGTGGATGACCATAGTAACCAGATGATAGAGAAGGATAAATTCCATCTGGAAAACTAATTAGCATTCTGTTACAACGTGCTTCCATCTGCCTGCAATTTCCCGATTTATCTTGTTTTATACAATTACGCTGCTCAAACAGATGCTAAATTTATATTTTGTCGTTTGTTGATCGAACTTCAGGGCTGGGCGATAACATAATTAATAACGTATAATTATTTGAGGCGCGAGAATAATTAAAGAAGAAGCTTCGTATGAAATGTTTACTCAATTAAATAACTTGGTTACATCGAATCAGTTACACAGCATAAAATTTACATGTTTCTCAAATGGTCATCGACTCATAAGATTATACTTGAACGTTCGATATTGTCGAAGAAACATCACGCAGAATCAGCTAATATAAGACAGAATTAATTAAGTTTTGGATTTAATCATTATCATTGACCGCACGCTATGTTACCGAAGGCCCGCGGTATAAAGGAATATCTTAAAGAATATATATATAGAAATAATATATATATATAGAAAATATGCACAAAAGTGTCTGATATATTAATAAAATAATAATGGAACTTAGATTATACATTTTACACGATTATATGAGCGATCAAACAGATCGATGTGGAAGGTTCGTCGAATGGCGACTATAAAATGCTCGAAATGATTCTGTGTCATAGTAGGTTTACACATGTAAACGCAGATAGTCACATTTCATTCTACTTATACACATGTGTAAAAAAGGTGAATAAACAAAATAAAAGTCTGGTGTGTAAAAACGATGAGCAAACAAAAAGTTTGGTGTGTAAAAAAGATGAATAAACAAAGTGTTCCACTCGCTTCAACACCGTTCGACCTTTACCTTTTTTCCTCGCTTTTACTTGCACTTATTATTTGTAGAAATAAATCTTGTAAAATATATATATTATTATATATGTGTTCAAAATATAATCTATATATATTAAACACATTTTACAATATATAATCTATATATATTATATATTTATGTAACACATAATCTATATACATTATACATAATATAATATATTTAATATCCAATAATTATATATAAATTTAATATATAGAATCTTATATATATTTTATGTACCTATATGTCTTTAAAAATATATGTACATACATATATGGAAGAATAAAGAACGCGGTGTAATTTTACCTCATACAAACACTTTGGCATATGTACCACTTAAAATCAGATTAAAAAGGAAAAAAGCAAGGCCAATTGCGAGCGGTGACATTGACAGCGTAGAGGAGCAATTAATGATATAATATCTAGAGAACTTGAAAATAGCTTATATATCAAGGACATCTGTCGTATTTGTATAAATCTCTCTAAGTATATGCCAGCACCGATGATATAGCGCTGGGGCTAAAATATCTTGTACTATTTACACTAGCGAAACAATTACAATTACAATATTCGTCGCGTATATATATGTATATATATATATATATATGTATAATATTCCTTTGTTTACATCGATCTGAAAGACCATAAAAATAATTTCTTAGATGATAGATTACAGATATCCCAATTTTTCAGAAATCGTCGATGCACCGAAGGAACGCTCAAATGTATATATGTATGTACACATATGTATATATACAATATACATACGTATATATAGATACGTTTAATATACGCGAATATACATATGTATATATCGCGCCTAAACGATCAAGGCTATATATATATATATATATTATATATACATATATATATAAATAAAAATGTGCTTATTGACGCGATCCACGTGCGGCTTCTTCCAGTGCGCGAACTTTAAGCTCGCGCTCACGCTGTTGTCTAAAAAATACCCTTCGTTAGTCCGGGTACTAGTGCTGCCTTAAGTCATAACATTATGTAACAAGTTAGGCAAGCTGTGATAGTGATTTCAAGGGACGAACCTTATATATTCCTCGTGATGAGCCATGATAGAATGCGGAGGGAATCGGTCACGCTCCATCATGAGATGCCGTTGTAATTGTTCGTGATGCGCTGCCATATCCGCGTAGGGTCTTCCTAGGAGTTCCGCCGGATGAAGCGCTAAGGCAGGATCGCGTGGCATTAAACCGGGACGAGGGTAATTAGCGCCGGCCGCAGCTGTGGACGAATATCATCATGTGTTATTAAAAAAAAAGAAAATGAATTCAAAAGAATATTACTAATTCGTATTATTTAATTGTCGCTCGTACGATATCCATTTTGAAAGAGTACTCGTGCTTAGCGAAAGCGTATTCTCGTAATTTGTAAAGATAGAGAAAACCGCGCGCAAAATTTAACAATAAACCCTTAAGCTACGTTCCCAAAGTGTTACTAGTCATCTTCAGGCACACGCACATGCACACTCGCGCCTATTCCTCGACAACACTCACTCGCACTTGCACCTGCGACGGTGATAAGCGACTAGCCAGAGATCAGAGTCGAGCAACTGGAAAATCGCAGGCGTGCTGACGATTAACGGTACGGGAAAAAAAGGATCGTTTTGACCTAGACCTAGGCAAGTATAGGTAACGTAGGACGATCAATGAGAAACACACGGGCTGCCGAACGACGAGGAATAAGCAAGAGCGGCGTTTTCTTAAAGGAGAAGCTCTTCAGGAAGCTTTAGAAGAAACATCCTGGTTGTGTTAGGACCTACCCGGCAGAGGAAATCCAGCCGCAGCCGCAGCGGCTTCCTGCTGTTGCTGAGCCTGTTGCTGGGCCTGTTGCTGTCCCGGATGTAAGTGCAAGTGCGTATGCGCATGCGTATGCGCGTGAGTGTGAGCATGATATTCGGGCGAGATGCCAGCCATTTGCAATCGGACCATCGGGTCAGCGGCCAGAGCCAGCCTTTCTTCCAGCTGGCCGTGGTGATGAGCCGCCACGGGATGGCCAGCCGCTCCACCCGCTGGCCCCCCGCCGGCTGCAGTCGGAATCCCTAAACGCGACAGCGCTTCGATCACATAACTCGAAGATCACAGATACGATTCTCATGCCCGATTTCTTCATCTCCAGCTAACTCGGATAAAATTATCTGAGAGAGGAAGGAACCACTCCTTTCAAATGTATACCGCTAATTGTAATATAGAGAGCCAAGGTTAGCTATTATGTGTTAACAGAGTTAACTGGCGCTGAAGAAATCGGCCATTTATTTTTAACAATTAGTCTACCTACGTCGCATCCCTCAAAGCTCTTGGCGCTCTTGATCTAATTATTCTTTTTCCCCGACCTACCCGATTTTTCTATTATATCAGCCTTTAGGCTATATTCTTAAGTCAATTCGAATTTTGAAAAGTACAAGTGATACGGTCGAACGAATATTAAATCGACGAGTCTCTATCTCTACTGCCGAGATATCAAGTATTAGCTTTGTCAACAATTACCTAGCCGTTCGAGTCGTTCTCTCTCGAGTTGACTCGGACCCGGTGGAGCTCCGTAGAGGCCAAATTGGTGTAAGGCTTGAGGCGGTCCAGAAGGACCTGGTGCCAGACCGGCGGCAGCGTATCGACGATGTATCTCCAGCCAGTGGGGATCGACAGGCGGTGCTGGCATCGGTCTGGGTGTGCCCTTGAACAGTTCTTCCTTCAATCGATCGTTTAACTCTCTCTCGCGTAGTTCACGTATCTCGCGTTCTCTCTTCTCACGCTCCAGATGCTCCAATTCTAACCGCTGCGCCGCAGCTTCACGCCCGTAAATATAGTGCAGCATCGGGTCGGGTGGGGCCGGATGTCTGGCGGGTGAGAAGGCAGCGTGCGGCCTAGCGTATTCGGATAGTTGTCTGAGCGCTGGGGTATCTGCATAGGAACCAGGACGAGCGGCATAACGGTCGTAAGGTGAGACGACAGGTTCGAGGGGACCACGGCTAGGCGGTTTACACACCTCGGGCTGCTTTTCGGGCGTCGTCATCTTTCGGGCCTGTTGTGCCGCAGCGGCGGCGCGATCGCGCTCCTCTCGCTCCCGCTCCGCTTGCTTTCGCGAGCGCTCCTCGCGTTTCCGCGCAAGTTTCGAATCTGGTACAGGCTTGAACATAAGGTCGGTGCGCGTACACGAGTTATTTTCACCGCGATTCCAATGCCTCAGGAAAATCGCTGATTGCGATCGGTGACACTCGGAATCCTCGATACGCGGCTCCGGCGATGGTCCACGTGGACTAATGGACTCCTCTGGTTCTGGATCCAAGTCTTGCTCGATCTTTGGCTCTTGAACAACCTGTGGTTGCTGCGATTGTGGTGGACGATGATGATGGTGCGCGGAACTGGATGACGTCATGCACGTAGCTGAGACGAGCGACGATTTGCGTTGACTACTGTGTGAGCTATGCGACGAAGAATGGCTGTGAGAGCTGTGAGAGGAGATAGTCAGCAGCTTGTCGTGGTGTAAATTGGTTGGCTGCTGATGCATACTGGATGCATGGTGATGACTCGCAATCAGGTTCTCGCCTTCCTCTCTGCTCGCGACGCTCGAGCTAGTGCTAGCATGATGCGCTGCCATCATGGTGCTGCTTTCTTGGCTACGCTGCGGCGAGGGTGGTGGAATGGCATGAGGTACCGGGCCGTAAGGATATGGCGTGAAGGATGGGTATCCTCCTACTGGCGCGTATCCTGGATAGGCGTGAGGATGATACGGATGCATGGCGGTGAATAGCGAATGATGCATCAGCGGATGATGCGGATGGAAGGGATGTGCCATGTGTGGGCTCGGTTGCTGCGCGGGATGCATCACTGGTTGTGGGATTGAACTGGGCGGTGGTGGTAGACTCGGCGTTGGTGTTGGCGTAGCCGTCGGCGATGCCGCGACCGGCTGTATCGATGGTACCGTCTGACTTGTCGGCGGTATAGAGTGTTTGCTTGGCGTCGGTGGTTTGCTTGTGCCGTCCGGATCTTTTTTGATGTTGTCCAGGCTCGGACCAGGGAAAGAAGAGGATCTGGTTCCGGTGGTATAATCTCCTGCTTGATCTTCAAATTCTGTGGCTCCATCGGTGGCGTTCCGGCCAGATTATAGATACCTACGGGCTTTTCCATTGGCAACATTCCGCTGGGCTGTATTGGTTGGAATAAACTACTGGGCTCCGATCGTTCCGGTTCGTTATTCTCGCTCGTCCGTTCCGGAATGCGTTCTGGCACCATGCGAGAGTCGGGAACTCTGCTATCTCGAGTCCGTTCGTTTACCGACAGTCTCTCGTCTGCCATCCTCTCGGCGTTTCTACTATCGGACGACATCACTGTTAAGCCAAGCGGCTGTGATGGTGGACTCGGCATTGACGACATCTGGCCGATTGGGCCACCGATACCGGCCGATACACTCTGTGAAATGTTAAGGTTCAACGGCGGTGGTCCCGTCATGTTCTGTGGCAACGTTTGCGCGGAACTTTGTAAACTCTCGGTCACATGACTACGAAGATTCGTTGGTCCCATATTCTGCGCGCTGGGTGGAACGTTGTTTGGCGCTATCTGCGGTGGTATGCTCTGCGATAGGTTCTGTGGCACGTTCTGCACCGGTAACGGCGGCGGTGGTTGTACATATTGCATACTTAGACTTGTCGG